AAAAAAATTACAAATAATATTATAATATATTATCATGAAGTGTGTATAGGACACACGTCGCTAACACACCAGTACTTGATAAAGCAGGAAAATCCACCCATATTATGTACCAGTTGCGGTACACTCCTWTCAGTCCTATCAAACAAACACATTGTATCCGAATGCCGTTCCTATGAGACGGACAAACGAGAAGCTGCGGGGTATCAAATATCATGTCGGAAGCCCTCCATCCAGATACCATAAGTCACAAGACCAATCTTATAAATAGTTTATAATCTGTTTTTGTTTATGTAAATACTGTATATTAAAAATAATGTTAAACTTAAAACTCCTTGTATGCCAATGGCCATAAACGCCGAGGCTTTTTTTTTTTAAATTAAAAAAAAATATATCATAAATTTTACAATTGAAATTGCATTTTACAAATTTGCAATATTAAATTTAGATRCATAAAACAAAAATACCTATTTAATAGATTTTTATAATAAAACAATTATATATTGAAAGGGTTTGTTATCTTGACTAACAACAATCTGCATTGCATGGTACTACAATAGTACAATATGACGTTGTGATGATTATTGTTGATGGGTAGTGATCAAASGTCAGTAGGCATAGGTGAAGTGGGTATAAATGTATGATACTACTATTGAAACTTTCAATTTCAATTTGAAAGGTGCTTAAGATTATGAGAATCACTAAAAGATAATGATGMATTTTTTATAATAGATAGATAGATAGGTTATCAACCAAGCTTATAAATAAATATATTATCCATTATAACTCGTATAAGATATGAATATTATGCACATATAATATATATTTTTAAAAAGTGAATTAAGCTAGGGGTACCTTAATGTAATTAAAAAAAAAAGTGAATTACGAAGGTACCACGTAGTATATTAATTGTTTATACTTTATTACGGTTTTACTTGCAGTACGGCTCACTGATGAGTATTTATTATAATACACTAGCACAAGACTTGATAAAACCTAATGTATTTTCACCTGTTGGTGTTATGATAATTTCGGCGACCTGTAAAAATTAAAACATATTWACAYAAAAACTCGTTAGTACCTACTAAATTATGGGACCAAACAAAACAATCTAACACGATATTGCTTACTATATAGGTACATAGGCACCCGCAGAATTTTTTCTAGGGGGGGGGCAATGTTAGGATTTGAGGATAAATATTATAATTTTACTAGGTGTTTTAAAAGGTTCATACCCACTTTGCCGACAACTCGGTTTGCCGACAAATATACCAGTTTTAAAATATTTTAAAAACATTCCCATTTCGCCGACAGTCTAGTTTGCCGACATCTTGGTTTGCCGACAAATTATAAATAAATATAGTTTTAATTTTCCCAATTCGCCGACAGGTGACAACAATTTTTATCAAAAACGGATTTTATGACAGCGATAACACAGTATGTTGTCGATAAGTTYAATGATTAAATGATTTCCCACATATAAAATCCAGAGGGAGTACAAATTGGTGAATTTAGTTCGTTCCAGCCGTGTGTACTGTAAAGTTCAAAATTTAATAGTTAGCCAGTTAAAAATTTAAATGAAATGGTTTAAAATAAAATCAGAAAAAAATCATGATTTATAAGTCGTCAATAATTTTATTCATCGGGTGGATAGAATACGGGTCAAAACCGAATATTATAAATGCATCATACAAAATTGCTGCAAACCGCTGCGGACGGGCTATTTTGAAAAATAAAACTGACGTAATATTATCGAAGCCTCACAATCACCCAACACACGGAGTTGAGTTGGCTAATCGTGGCTTTCGAAATAAATTGAAAGTAAGTACAAATTTAGTAATGTTTAAGTAGAAATTATAAAAATTTAATTTCAAATATATTATAGTAGGTACTTGTTAAGTGCATTATGTTCAAACCTATTAAGGCATTTAATGAAATTAGGAGATCTGTCATAACTTCAGGAATAGAAGGTGCTACAAATTCGGAWGTTATAGATGCTATTCCCGTATTCACCAGTATAAAAAGTTTTATCATATACCTAGTATAATATAATGTTTATTTTTTTTTATATAATATTTATATTCGGCGAATTGAGAGTCGGCGAACTGGGGTGTCAGCAAATTGAGTGTCGGCAAATTGGGTTTCGGCGACGTGGGAAGACACGTTTTAAAATAATGACCATTTTTMTTATACTCGTATACAGTATATTATATTTTATTATATTACAACTTATTTTATACTTTAAATTTGTTGTATAGTATATAGTAATTTATCTTAAAACATTAAATTAAAAAAAAAAATGTTTTGAAAAAGCCAGGGGGGCAAATGCCCCAGCTTGCCTTCCCCTGCGGGCGCCTACGTGTCTAAGAACAATCAAAAATACATATCTCATTTTGTGCAGGGATGTACAATTACCCCATATTAGGCGTATATGGGGCCATATAAGGGTAGGTGAGTATGTTGAAGTAATGCCCGATTGTGTAAATCGCCATTTGGACAATGACAGCTAGGACCTCAAACGGATTTTGGAAAATGGGCATAGAAATTCAATATTAAATAATGGGACCAAATAATCCATACAGGCATCATCGGTTTGGTTTATGGGAGAAGGCCGAGAAGGGTACAACAAAAACAATATTTTTTAGAAAACGTATGTATTTGAAAATATAAGTAAACCTAACCTAACCTAACCTAGCCTCACATGATACACTGGGAAACTTCAAACTACATAAATAACTATAATAATTTATAGTTATAGTTATTATAGGTACTTTTTTTTAAAAACATTGGTATTAATGGTATTATAGCCTATCTTAGTATCTTTTACAATATGATATGCCTAAAACTTAAAACCTTTAGATAACAATTATTTTTGACTTACATTGACACGCTGCGGTGYACTCAATGCGTACATAATAGCTTCAGCAATGTCAATAGATTTCAAAATATTATTAATCATTCCTGATTTGCTTATCTCCTCTGTCATTTCAGTTTCTACTGCTCCTGGGCTGATACTCTGAAAGTAAAACAATACACTTTTAACTAAAATATATATTTAAAAATGTATACATTTATGTACAGAATATTCATTTTAGATTCTAAGCGGAGCGATGAATGTATTGAATTTACAATGTTTGTATGTTTATGTAATAAATAATACAAATTTAAAAAGCGGGTTTCCGTTGTAGTCGCGGGGGCCGGAGATGTCGGTCGACGCACGCCGACAACGCAAACAAGATATAACTAAAAGTTGTTATCGCCGTGCGTCATAGGTACAGACCACGGCGGGCACGACGATAACAAATATAAAATAGGTATACAATAATAATAATAATTATATTAAAAATCACTACATGTCAAAATTCGAAATTGAGATGCTTATAAAAATTATTTTGGAATTATGCTCAACTTCGAACTTTAATTTCCAAATATTTGTTTACTGCAGTGAAGAACGTTGTATTATACATAATCAAATTTTTGAGTTAACGAAAAAATCATCATATAGTAAATATAAAATACTAGTTTAAAGTAATATTCAATTATTATTATAATTATTATAATTAGTATTATTATTATTATTATTTACTATAGGAAACACAATAACTGTGAATACCCAATTAAAATAGCTTCGTCCGTTTCAAAGTCTTTCCCATTTTCCAAAACATACAGATAGATGCATACAGCTAAATTTTCKATGTGTGTGTTTCATGCAATATTACATTTAAYTGTGTACATTCATTTAAAAATCAAACGTTATAATTATAAACATGTAAAATAAGATCAATAAGACTAATACTATATTTTATTTTATGTAACCAATAGCAACAATATATTGTTTATACAACAAAATATTGGATTTCTGTTTGCTGAAACAAAATTTCTGTGTGTGATCATCTTTAAAATGAGAATTTTTTTTTCTTATGTCACTCTCATATCATTAGATATGTATGTATACCATTAGTATTTTATATCTGAAGYCTATTAGTGGTTTGTCTGGATGTTGACACAAAAGTTTCATCAAACATTCGGACATCTTTCTTTATAAAATATAATTTAGGTTTAWAAGYGAGTTCTGAGTTCTGACAATGCTGAATTGAAWATTTTCCTTAATTTAGGTTATAGGTAGGTATAATAAAGATAAAAAAAACAACGAATTTATAAATGATTAATATCAATATGGTATGTTTATATCGATTCCTACATCATTGAATTTTAATGAACTTGGATAGGCAGATAGACATTATTACAGGTGCAGATATATCAATTTATACAACTTATCTGCCTATATATATTCTTAAATATTAATATATTACCGTGACTCTGATGGGTAAACCTTTCATGCCCATCAATTCTCTTAAATCGTTTGTAATTGAAGTAACACAATGTTTGGTAGCGGAATAAACTGAAATATCTTTCATATATGGCATTTGGAAATGACCTGCAACACTAGGTAGGTACAACATAAGTTAATTATAATTATATGTACTACGTTAGAAATACGAATACATAAGTTATTGTTATAGAAGCTTATTAGAGATAAATTTCAATTTATATTCTATGATATAATATTTGAAGTTCTTCGATTAATAAATATCTATCCAATCAAACTATATAATAACAAATTAACAACACAGGAATTCTGAATTACAGATGCATTGATATCTCTATAAAAGTGCATCGTAAAATAAAATAACATCCAGGAGTTGGAAAGGTAATATTTTTGTTAGCCAGAAATGTTTATAGGTCCTATTAAACAGAAAAGTTATTAATTCAAAAAAACAATTTTACTTTCATTTTTCAATCAAAACGTTTTTACAAAATCATTAAAATCATTGGCATCATCATTAGTTAATCATTTTTTCCTTGATTAAAATATTTTTTTTTAACAATTTACCTACTTTTAGAATTAACTTCTTCAATTATTTAATCGGAGTTAATTCCGATCAACAATTATATTTCAATAGACAAGATCTTTACTTAAATATGATTTTATTATTGGATACTTTGGTTTAGGTTAACAGTGATAATTTATAGTTAATAATGTTAATATTTAATATTTATATATTATSTTAAAGATCCGCAAGAAAATTTGAAGTGGATTATTATATTTTTTTTAAATAACAGTAATAATATTTTCTAGTTTTAATTATATCTATTTGGTGAATTTATTTTATATACAAAAAAAAACATGTATAGAACCCAAGAGGTCAACCGAAATTAAGGACCTACATAGAAAATCTATTTATTCCATCGACTACCGAGGATTATCATCCATTCCTGAAAAACATTCATGAAATTTTATTAAATCTAATAGTTACCTGTTAATATTTATTATATGACCCTCTTTGATTTTTATTTCCTCCATGATATTGATGGCTTCTCTGCTACAAATGTTATAACCTATGACATTGGTGTCAAACATTTGTTTCCAATCATTCGTATTTCCTGGAAGTTTTAATAATGGTAAGTATA